GATCATCTTGTCACATTAACATAATAATAAAAGGTGTATATCTAAAATAACAAATAGTTTATACATGGCACTGTTGATGTCTATGAGAGTAAATAATGAAAGTAGAGAGCTAAACATAGTGGCCCATACAAAATGAATGAAATACACAGAAAAAAAATTGAACTGTATAGTTAGTCCAGTCACAGAACTATAAGTGATAAAAAAATAATACAAAATTATAAAATAGAGTGAAATATATATATATATATATATAAAATAAATATATTTATATATATATATATATATATAAACAAAGAATTGTGTATTGTGTTTCATTTTTTTCTTCTATTTTTATATGGATGCTTTCACTTTTTAATGGTTTTTTATAGTGTATATTGATACTTGTTTTAATTATTTGATTGAAATTGTAAGGCTCGCATTCAATTTGGTAATCGCGGGCCGCGATTTGTCACCGCTTTTTATATTGATGTTTTTTTTATGAATAAAAGTGACATTCAAATACAAAATGGTAAGCGAGATTATAATTTGAAAAAAAAATTACTGATTTCACCGAATATATGGTACACTTTTTAATTAAATTTTAAAGCTGTTGTGTTTAAATTGTTAATACATAAATAATGCAAAAATTCTGTATTTTATTACGGTATATAAATATATAGTGCTTCAATCATCTATGTTTCTATATAAAGTAAATAAATTAAGTTGAATCGAATTCAAGAGTTCAAAAGCTTTGACTTATCAATTCTTGAAAAATGGAACAGTAATTTACGACTTGCTTATCCAAGGATTTTTATCAATAGATAATAACAGATATTGGGTAATAGGTAATAATAGAAAATAGCTATTAGATAATAGATATTAGATAATGGGTAATGGATAAATAGATATTCGAGAATAGATATTAGACAATAAATAATAGACGACAGATATTAGATGATAGATAATGGACAACATATAATGGATACTACATAGGTAATAGATATATACAAATATGATTGCCACAAATGAAGAAACATTTGAGATGAATTTTTTTCCAAATGCCCATTGGCTAGTTTTATTACTACTTAGGAAATTGATGAACAGTAGTTGCAGATTAAAGGTGGTCTCTACATAATCACGTACACTTTCAAATACAGTATTAAAGTGTGTAATAGATTTTATAACAAATACACTTCTCCTGCTACAAACATTCTCAAAATAGCTAATACATCCTGGATTGTGATTGGTGCAAATAAATACAAATAACATAGGTGATGACCAGTAATTTTAACCAACATCATAATAGATTTACTGTTAAAAATTCATAAACAAAATTTCGGTGATTATTGCTGGTAAGAAGTAATCATAGAAAAGATGAAAATGTAGATGCAGGCACTATTGAAAGTTAACAAAAAAAAAAAAACATGAACAAATTGATGGTAAGTAGACTGCAAAGATAGTGACAATATCATTCATGAAGGTGGCTGTGGTTTATATGCTGATAGAGAGCTTTTGATTGATGCTAAGGATCTAGAACATAATGAAGTCACCAGCGCATACAATGTCCTCGTTGTCATCTGAAATCAGGATGCAGGTTGGTCGAATCTACGTAGTGCAGAGGACACATGACAATCACAGATGAGTGAATCAGTTTTATTTAGTGTCTCATCGTTGCACAAACAGAAGGCTCCTTATTAATCGACATGCTATTGTCAGATTTCATAATATAAGGGGCTAAATATTTCAGCAATATACAAAAAAATCGAAATAATTTGCAGGATTGTTAAGGTGTATTGACATACAGGCCGAGTTTATGGTCATTGTTTTAACCAATGTGAGGAAGAACTAAGGCATACAAGAATGGGCCATTCCGGTTAGCCCCACACCTCGGATATTGCTCATAAGCGAAGAACTTAAATAGCAGAAGAATGAGCTGCTCCGCGTATTTGCATTAAAATCGATGGAACATTCGCCCTCACGCGGTTGCAGTAAAATTTGAACATTTTACTAAGTGGAGAAACTACAGGAAACAAACGAACCAGAGAGGCGCCTTTATTATTACTATTTAGCGCCGCCACGCGGATGCAGTAAGATTTTTCTCCGTGTACCCACAATGCATTTCGACCGGATGTTCCACTATTTTGGAAAGCTGCTCTATCTTCTGCTATTTAATATCTTTGTCATAAGGTCCCAGAAAGCGATAGTGTAAAATCGCGCAAACACATGCGTTTGTGTGATTCCTGGCCTGTGATTGGTCAGTTTTTGCCTTTATTTGACACCCCGGAAAGGACCATGGAAAACTATGAAAGAATGGAAAGAAGTTATCTATTTTCTGCCTTTACCACAATATCACCATAAAAATATGATTTTGCTTCTAAAAATCTAAAACTTCTAATAATCCCGATAAGCAACTTATCACACTTATCACCAATAACTGCAGATCTCTTAAGATCTGTAGCATAGTATGTTGTTATATAATTATTTGAATAAATAGATTATCACACAGTAAAGCACACCTAATGTACATAATACAATAATATAATACATTACATCCAATGTTTTCAACTTTAAAGGAAATTTACAAACACAATAAATGCTGAAAAACAATTAAAACTAAACCATAATACCTACATAACAAAAAAAAAATCCTATTTCAGCCTTAGTCAGTATTATCATTTTTTTAAAATAATAAAATCGTGCCTCGTTATTGGTGACTATGGTAACAACAAATTGCAGCAAGTTAAATCGAAATATATTATTTAGATTAAATATTCAAGATTACCACTGAATTATGATTATGCTGTACTCTTTATTAGTATATGTTCATTCCATCTCAGGAGTTGGCATTAAATTATACAAAAAACTTTTAAAAGATGTTTTATAATAATTAGACATATCATTCTGTGAACAATCAGCCTACAAATATATATACTCTTGTTAAATTAAATCACGTTATGTAGTGTCCTGCACCAATTTCATAAATATGCAAATAAGGCAGTGAAAATCTTGAATATTCAATATTCAGTATTTGTCAATTTCTGATGACTATGTAAATGATAATTAGCATACAGGTAGATATATTACCATAAATTGTATTAAATGAACTACATAGCAACACTCCAACAATCTAAAAAAACAATGTAGTAAACAACCATATGTAATAAGATATGATTTCTTTTTTTTTTTTTTTGCAGACTAAACTAACCATTAGGTGTGACAGCAAAATTAGCGATTAACCTCACTAAGTACATATTTTATGTATAATATATACACTTGGCCATAAAACACACAATTACATATCGAAGAATCTACAATTAGAAAAAGACTTATAATAATTATTAGACTTATTTAATCCTTTTAAAAGTTAAATATCTTATGAATAATCACCCAAAAATAACTAATACACATCCGTTGCCATGATTCTCAGCCTAAAACAAATGCACACGAGGCCAGACAACTTAATTAAAATAATAATACTGGTAATGAAATACACCCTACTACAGACAATGGCGGGAGAAGGTATGTATACATTGAAATGGGGGGGAATGTGCAAAT